AGAGTGGTACGTTCAGCTCTTCTTTGAAACAATTAACCCAAATTTTGAAGGAAAATCCCATTCCAGAACTGGAATTTTATGTCCCTTCCTTCTCCAGCCTGTGCTGACCATGGGTACGTTCCTGTTGTAGAAATTACAGGGTGGATTTAATTTGCTTGTCTGTGCTAAATATAAATTCACTTTTATCTTGGTGCTCAAATCCTGTCATAGTTTTCTGATCCATCCCTCTGAACTTGTTAGGAAATAACACATTTATTGTAGTGAGGGAAAAAAAAAACAAACCTCTGGGGAAGTGTGTGCAGCAGGAATCATGAAATATTCAATCCCCAGCATTTGTTAAAATTCAAATGAGGCACTTGAAAGAATGGTTTGAAGCCCATAAACCTTCCCAAATTATTGTGGCCTTACCTGGAAATCTTAGCAAAAGAAAACCTCTTTATTTTGACTCTGTTTTCCAGGCAATAACCATAAAAACTGAATTTACAGCAAAAATAAAAAATCCTTCCTGGGTTTGGTTTCCTTTTTGTTTCCCAGCTACACCAACCCCATTATTTTTAATGAATATTTTAGTGCTCTAGATTTTTTTTCTCTGCTACAAGGAATTTGTGGTGTTAGTATTTGATTTTCCTCAACTGGGGCAAATATTTGAATGAATTTTGGTTCATTTTGTAGAGTTTTCCCTCTTCTTTTCTGTGTCTACTGCTGTGGAAGGAGGAACAAGAGGAAGAAGTGAAGAATCCACTGCTGGGAAACGCTGAAATCTCCTTGTGCAGAGCATTAAATCCTGTTCTGCAGCTTGGATGGGTTTTTATCCAGTGAGAGCTGCTTTGGTGCTGTTAAAATCACCTTATTTTGGGTGTAATCATTGCAATTTGGATATCCTGGAAAATCAAGAGGATTTTGTTCTCCATGTACAGCTTTGTCTGGTTTAAAGCCAATAATTAAAAAGTCATTTAGCAGGGCCTTGGCTTCCTGCTCTCCTTTTACTTCCAGCTCCCTCATGTGTATGTTCAGCCCAGAATTATTTTCCCTATCTAAGGGATATTTTTTTCCTTCTGTGCGATTTTAAATAAATAGATTTTTACAGTATTTACCTAAAATGCTGAATAAAAACCATCTCTGCTTACCTGTATTTGATGTCCAAGCTAAAATATTTGTGTATGAGTGTAGCACACCCTAGAAATGTTTGGATCTTCCCTGAAAAATCTTGGAAAATTTGAAGCCAGTGGCAAATTTTGAAGTGTCGGGAGGTAGAAGAACACGTACTGAATTTTGGCTAAACATCAGTTTAAAAAAACCAAACCTTAAATACCTACAAAATTTAATGCATTTATTAAATCATAGAAATTAGGATTAAATAAATGAATTAAATAATCTTTAAAAGCTTCTCTACCAGAAGCCTGAAGGCACAAAGAGTTTGAAAATGAAGTTAAAAAACAAAGTTGGGAAGAGCTGCCTTGAGCCTCAGCTTAAACCACATCTTCCCACGGATTTTAAACCAGACAGAAAAACAGAAAAACCAGCCAGCAGTGTCTCCTGTTGCTGCATGCAGCTCTTTTATTTTCATTTATCTTTACAGAAATGTGAAGCATCTTCACAAGAATTGTACAAAACCCTCTCCCCTTGGCTGGCTGCATCCCAGCAGAGCAGCTCCCGGAATTCGGCCTCCGAGAGGAAAGACGGGAGTTGCTGTTGCTGATAAAAATCCATGCAGGAGCTGAGCTTGGAATAAAACCGTCCTGTTCTATAGAGGTTAAATAAAAAGGGGATAACAGGAAATAAATGTACTCATAACGTTGGTTGGAGTAGTTGAGTTTAATGCAGGATATGTGGATTTAGTCCGTACTGAGCGCGTCAAACCGGTAGTGGACACGGAACGTGCGCCGGAGCCGCTGCTGGAAAAGCCCAAAACATCCCAGCTCTCCTCCTTTCTGCATCCCCCAGGGCCTGCCAGGTCTCTGCATTGGAACACAACTATTTCCTCCAAAAAATGGGATTTTTCCATGGTTGGAAGCAGTAGCCATTCTCCTGTTCCCATGGAAGCTCCTTGTGGGCCCTTTCAGCAGCAGGAGCTTTGTCGCTGCATCAACGTTTCCAGGACCATTAGAAAAATAAACTGCTCTTGTTTTTACATTAGTATTGTAACTGAGGCTAAGGAATTAGAAAAATGAACCCTTGGTTCTCAGGCTTGCATTGCCCACGGGTGAGTATTTACAGGGCTTTCCCCATCCCGTGGGAAGGTGGGCTGGAAGTTTACACCAGAGAAGGAACCCGAGGGTTCGGACACGGAGCTTCCGTTTCAAATACAGGGATTTTGTACACTGGGCAAACAGAAGCATTGTCAAAATACAGGAATATCAAGGGCATTTTGATGATATCACAAAGCACACAGAGGCTTCAGTCCTTTTGGCGTGTGCTTTCCTCTTGGGATCGTTTTCTGCTTGGATTAAGGGCAGGGAGGAGCTGCTGAGGAAGGAGGGACCCAACACCACGGCCAGTGGAGCCTCTGGAACACAGAGCCTGGATTTGGCAACAAGGCTGACCTGGCTGCTCAGGGCTGGGGTGAAACTTTAACTAAATCAAGGGTTTCAAAAAGAAATTTAACTTTCTTGCCATGGGAGGGTTGAGCTGAGGATCTGCACTTGCTTCCCTGCGCTCTCACACAGCTCATAGCCAAAAAAACAAAAAATAATAAAAATGTTCTCAGTAAATATATTCCCATAGTCACACCTTTTTGTTTTATTTGGGGTCTGGGTTTTTGTTTGTTTGCTGGTTTGGTTTTTTTTTAACCTGGAATACTACTTTGTTCCACTCTCCCTCGAAAGAAAAGTGAGGTTTGGAAAATGATCCATATTAAAGGCACACTCTTAAATCCAGTCACACTCCACACTGAGCATCCTGAGATTTCAAGTTAGCACAGAGCCCATGTGTCCTTTTGTACTTCAACCACACCCACTTTTTAGCCTACAATTCCTTTTTGCCATTTTTAAATGACAGATTTGGCATGTGAAACTGCAAACAGAAATAAATAAAACATTGTGCCTGCCTTAACCAAACAGAGCCAAAACCAATCTTTAAAAATCCATCAAAACAACCCAAAAAAGCTTTAAAGACGGTTCTGTTTGTGCCCACAGCTCAGCAGGGTGGGAGGGGTGCACTCGTTGCTTTTACCTGTGGTACCTCATGAGCCTGGGGTTGCCACCACTCAGGGGCTGGCACTTCAGGAAAAAACAACAATAAAAAAAAATAAAAGCCCCCAATAAAAAAAAAAATTAAAAAAAATAAGGACCCCAAACCTTATCCAGGCACAGCAGGTCTCTCTCAACCCCCTCTCAAGGTGATGCCAGCCTTGGCACTGGGCATCTCTGTTCTTCCTCAAGGCCACGGGCACGGTGGGCAGCACATCCCCATAGGCTGGGGCATCTCCCCATCTATTTAAAACTCATTTAAATCAGGTTTTGGCTTGTTTTCTATTTTGTTTTCTTTGTAAACATCGATTGGGGTGCACTGGAGAGCAAACAGTGAATGTTAATGGCAATAAACCATTCAGCTGGCAGCGAGTGCAGGAAGCTGATGGGATTTCATGTTGTACTTTACAAGCTCCTTGCTAAAAAAAAACAAAAACACATTAGAATTGTAAGATACAAACCTAAAAGTATAGAAAGTAAACGACTCAGTTTTTCACCTGGCCATCAAATCAACCCTTTCCACATGGATGTAGAATGTGCAAAAGCAGATGGAGAACACATCTGGTGCTCGTGGTGGTGCCAGCTCCCTGCAGGCCGGGGGGGAGCCGGGGCACAGGGGGCACAGGCAGAACCCGCTGCCTTGGTGGTGTCACCGAGCTGTGACCACGGGGAGGAGAAGGACAGCAGGCCACGGCCAGGACACTGCTGGGACCCCGGAGTGCCCTGGCCGGCGGGGAAAGGGCGAGTGGAGCCACCAAAGCACCACCGGCCAGCCCAGCCCGTCCTGCCCGGACAAGCAGCCCCAAATCCCCCGGGCAGCTCAGCTCCAGCAGCAGCACAGGGGGACACAAACCCAGCGGCTCCGAGGCACCGCCACCGAGCTGGCCAGCGTTCCGTCCCCCGGCCTGGGCATGTTCTGCTCCGTGAGATGCCCCAAGGCTGGGGGCAGAGCAGCCCCTGCCATGCCCTGTCCCCTCCATCCCGTGTGTCCTTGCTCAGCACCTGGCACGGCCACCCAGAACAGAAACCCAGCAGAGGATGAAGAACATAGGTTGGGTGAAAGAGCAGAAGTTTGGGAACCCTGGGGGACACCTGGCGAAGGAGGAGGAGGAAGAGGAGCAGCGTCTTGGTGCAGTTTTACTCCTTTTGGTCTTCACCAACCTGCACCATCCGGGCCGATAGCAAGCACAGCCCTGCTCCCCCGGGGCCACCGACAGCTGGGCTCAGCCACGTCCCACCAGCACCAGCGAAGACTTTCTCACTAGTTGCGGTATTGGTATAAAAAGTTAAAATCCCCGGGGCGCACGGCCACCGGCTGTGGCGTGTCTGGCTGTGACGCCCTGCCCAGGGCTCTGGGCATCCTCCCACGGGGCAGAGCCAGGCTGGGCATCGCCTTCCCCGGGGCTGGATGTGCTCTCCATCCCCGGGGCTGGATGTGCTCTCCATCCCCGGGGCAGAGCCGTGCTCTCCATCCCCGGGGCTGGCCGTGCTCTCCATCCCCGAGGCTGGCCGTGCTCTCCATCCCCGGGGCTGGATGTGCTCTCCATCCCCGGGGCTGGCCGTGCTCCTCATCCCCGGGGCTGGCCGTGCTCTCCATCCCCGGGGCTGGATGTGCTCTCCATCCCCGGGGCTGGCCGTGCTCTCCATCCCCGGGGCTGGATGTGCTCTCCATCCCCGGGGCTGGATGTGCTCTCCATCCCCGGGGCTGGCCGTGCTCTCCATCCCCGGGGCTGGCCGTGCTCTCCATCCCCGGGGCTGGCCGTGCTCCCCATCCCCGGGGCCCGGAGCCCGGGGCCGGCGCTCGGGGGCCGCTCACAGCTGGGTCTCGTCGCGCGTTTCGGGGTTGCCGGGGCCCAGCTTGTTGCTGCAGCTGCTCTTGCGGCTGTGGCCATCGTTGGCCACGTGGGCCAGCGGGTCGGAGCGGATCAGGTACCTGCGGGACACAGCCCGGTCACGCTGCTGGAATGTCCCCAGTTCCCCCTGGAATGGAGGCCAGGACACGAAAGAGTGGCCCATGGAGAGCACGGCCGTTGTTTGAATGAAGGGTGTTAAATTATAACTGATCATGTAAATGCCATAAAATAATATAATAAATAATCAGCAGTTATTCCTCAGTGCTCAGTGGCCAAAGCCAAAGGAAAATCCCACGCTGCCCATGGGAGCTAAGATGGGGCTGAGGTGGTTTGAGTTCTGCTCAGGAGCACAGGGAGGTGGAATGGACTGGGAAAGAGGCAAAAGCCGTGGGTATTTATGAGAAATCCTGGGAAAAAGTGGGATGGGGGCAGCTCATGGCACTGGGGCACTCTGGGGACGGGGTGAGGCGACACTTACACGATGTCGTTGAGCTCCAGCCGTGTGTCAGGGGGCGGGTTGATCAGGACGTAGGACAGGGTGTTCTGGTGGTCGTTCATCTCATCTGCAAGAGGAGGGGCAGGGCTGGTGAGGGAGGGACACCCCCACAGACACCCCAACAGGCAAGCTGGAAGATCCCATCCAGGCAAATGGGTCCCTTCAGCAGGAGAAGCCATGGGCAATGCCGCTGCCACCAGGAGGGCACGAGAACGTCGCTGCCACCTCCCTCCTCACCTCCCCAGGCTGTCCCCACCGCAGCACGGCCCGGGGGACTGGCAGGGGTGACTCTCCAAAGTCCCCACTCCCTCCCCAGAAATAAAGTGAGATGTCTTACCTTGGTGCAGTGCAAAAGAGGGAACAGGTTAGTCCTGCTGTGTCAGGTACAGCACAAGTCCAACCACGGGCTCAGGGCAGCTGAACCCCCCCGGGACCGCCCCAACGCTCTGCCCACCTCTCCCCTTCAATTCCTCCATTTTGCACCATCCAGGCCCAGCATTAGTCCAGGGATTGCTCCTTTCCCCTGCCCAGGGGAAATGGCCTCCGTGGACTTTCAGAGCCATCAATGCCATTTTGGGGACGGCTCTAAAGCACAGTGACCTCCCACAGGGGGCTCAGAGCCACCACCAGCAGCACCCACGGGGGCAAACGGGGGGGTCTCGATGACGGGGGGGCCCCTGTGCTCCCCGGAATAGCCAAGAACAAGATCATGGTGAGATGGATGGGGGTGCGAGGCTGCGGGTGCCAGGGAGGGGTGGAAGCTGCGACAGGTGACACCATTTCCAGACAGGGTGATGGGGTGTGGATGGACAGGGCGGGCAGGGGACGGACAGACGGACACCGGGGCAGCATGAGGAGCACGGGGGGACACCAGCTCGCCGCAAGGCTTGGCACTGGGACACCTCTCCAGGCTTTGGGAAAGGCCCCTCTGAGGTGCAAATGGAGCAAACGGGGCTGCTTTGGGGGCAGCAGGACCAGGACCCGGCACTGGGATGGGCGTCCAGGCTGGGAGCTGCTCCTGCTGCTCCCACCACCCCTTCCCTGCTGTCCCCCTGCCTGGTGTGGGGGATCCCCCAGTCAGAGGCTGCCCTGCCCCACGGTGGGCACAGCCTCAGCAATGACAAGGGGTGCCAGCTCACCCTGGCACGGGGCTGAACCTGCTTTTCTCCAGCCCTCAGATGCAGCTCCAGCCACCCAGCACAGGAATGCTTCCTCCCGAGGTGTCCTTGCCAGGGCACACCCAGACGAGCCCAGGGGCATCCCCAGGGCTGTGCCACGTCCAGCAGTGTGTGCAGGGGACAGCAGACCTGCGAGCTGCTGCTCAGACACATCCCTGTCACCTCTGGGACCACAGAAGGTGCTGCAGCCGGGGGACCTGGGGCCACCCGTGGGGAGATGCTGCCTGGGACCCCCAGGCTGTGCCAGGCTGTCCTGGGGCCTCCGGGGCGTTTTGGCCATCCCAGTGCTCAGCCTTACAGGGAGACAGGGGTGGGGTGGCAATGCCGGGGCAAGGGTGGCACACAGACCCTGGGGCCCGACGGGGCACACGGGGTTGGACATGACAGGGAGGTGGGGACGGGCTCTGGCTCTGGGCAGGTTTCCCTGCCCCATGGAAGTTTCCTGACCCCATGCAGCCAAGCCAGGCCCTGCTGAGCACACCGAGTATATTGCTGCTCCTCCACTGCCCCCAGCAATATACTCTGCTGGCCTGGGGCTTCCATGAGCCCCAGCTGGGGCTGCCTGGCTGATGAAGGACACACTTTGTAAGGAAAATGCCAACGTTTCACCTTCAGACTGGACTTGTGAAGCCAAAAATGAAGCTGGGATGGGCCTTTGCTAATCTTGGGGTTGCTGAGGTAAAAAAGATCCTTTCCAGGGCGTGTTCCATGTGGTGTAAAGGTGAAAAAAAAGATGGGAAAACCTGGTGGTCCCACAAAGCCCCACAAGGTGCCCGGGGTGGCTGCAGCACCAATGGCCCCTGTGGCTACTGCTGCTGCCTTGGGCTGAGCCCAGCACCCCTGGTCAGAAAATGGGGTCTTCTAATGCTAGAGAGGGGTCCAGGAAGGCAAACCAAGGGGTGCAAAGGGATTTTTAAAGCGCTGCCTTGCCCTGGACTGACCCAGCAGGAGCTCCAGCATCTCATCACAACATGCACAGGCAGCTCTGGTGCAGCTGAACCCTTCCTTGTCCCCTCCTCAAGCTGCCAGTGGCTGTACAGCCCAAAACCCCCTCACAGAGCCGTGGAGGGAGGGTTTTGTTAAAGCAAGCCAAGGGCTGTGATTTCCCTGTAGGAATTCTGCTAAAAAAGGGTCCCTGAGGTTTCTATCTCCCTGGTCAGGCAGAGCCCTGAGCTTGCATCACCACCACAGGACACTGATTGGTTTTCCAACGCCACCCAACAAATTAGTGCTGAAAGCTCGGGGATCTAAGGTGAAAACTGGCAAGGGTGAGGTTTGGGCTTAGCTGGCATGATCTTGTTGTACGCTGCACGCCATGAGTCACGGGGGACTCCCAGGGAAAGGGAATTACCTTGCAAATATCCCAGGTTTACCCGATTCATCACATCACTGGCTGTTAAATTTGCTACATCCTCTACAGAACATACAGGGAAAGGCACAGACATAAACAGAGAGAGAGAGAGAGGTCAGCAAGCCATGGTTTGGCAAATATCAGAGACGAGCTCCTGCGCTGCAGCGATAACGTGAGCAAAAGAAAAAGGAAAGGGGCAGAAGGCAGAGCAACGTTTGTCCACGGGTGTCCAGACACTGACGGTGACACAAGGTGACAGCACACAGCCCCAGCACCGCTGGATGCCCAAGGAGCTGCTGGTCCCCACGCTGTTCCCTGTGTCCCTGCCCTCTGCCCCCCCACACACTGTTCGCTTCAACCAAAATTTGCCAGATGGGCCAGGACAAGGATGCCAGCCCTGAGCTGACCCCAGGCTGTGCCCCAAGCCTCACCGAGGCCAGACAGCCCCCCTGGAGCTATGACAGGAACTGCTGGCACTGGGAATGTAGGGAAAAAAGGAAAGGGGGGTACACCACTGCAAGCCCTTGCCTGGCAGACCCTGTCCTCGTTCCAGCCCACCACAAGCCACCTCTCCTGCCTCTCTCCCTGGGGACGCTGGCAGTGCCCACAGCCACCCCCTGAGCCCCCACTCCAACCCCTCCTGCACTGCACTTCTGGACATCTCCTCCTGTTTCCCATGCCTAAAGATGGGAAAGGAGGAATCCCACCCCCAAAATCAGCACCCATCCCAGCTGGGGCTCACTGCCAGCCTGAGTGTGGGCAGGGGCCAGCACGGGGTGGACGGACACTCCCGGAGGATGGAGCAAGCAAGCAGCAGCACAGGATGGCTTCAAAGAAAGAAAGAAAGAAAAAAAAAAAACAAAACCAAAACCAAACAAAGGGAGCTGTGGGCTACGGAGTTTGTCATAACCAAGGGGTGGGAGCTGTCCAGGGGACACAGATGCCAGCACCGACGGGCAGGTCAGAAGCTCGACGAGAGATGCGGCTGCACAGAGGGACCCTGAGCGCTGTGGCTGCCACAGCCACACACCGGTGCCACACGCAATGAAGCAACTCAGCCCTGCAGCTACCGAAAGGTTTGCCACGGAGAGCTCACGACAGATTAAAGTCCATAACAAAAGGGGGCTGCGCCAGCTGACGGGGTTTGGCCTCTCCCTGCCGACCTACGAGGGCTCTTGGGCACAAGGGTTGTGCTGACCTGGGGTCGGGTCGCCCTGAACCACCATCTCTGCATGGCTGGAAAGTGGGGGACAAACGGGGCCCCGTGCCCCGAGGCTGCGTGGGGACACCGGGTCCTGCTGCAGGCACAAGGGCCGCTCTGCCACTGCCAACTCCTGCCTGGAGCCATCCCAGAGCCCAGGGACGGGGGGTGGGCTGCCTGCAGCTGGCCGGGGGTGGCAGGGGAGGGGGTTCTGCATGGCGGGACCCCAGCCTGGAGCCGCTGGTCTGCACAAGCACAAGCAAGCCGGGGGGATGAGGCGCCGCTCGGAGCGCGGCCGGCAGCTAAGCTCGGCACGGGGTCAGGCTGGCACGGGGGTCGGGGTCAGGCTGGCACGGGGGTCGGGGTCAGGCTGGCACAAGGTCAGGCTGGCACAGGGGTCGGGGTCAGGCTGGCACGGGGGTCGGGGTTACCTGAGGAGCCCGCGGGCGGGAGGCAGCGCCGCAGAGCGGCTCGGCCGAGCGGCACTTACCGTACCCGGTGGTGGGCAAGCCCAGGTGCTTCATACGGTTTTTGACGAGCTCGGACAGCTCCTGCCGCTCGGAGCGCCGGTAGAGGCTGAGGCGCTGCTGGCTGATCCACTCGGCCGTCTTGCTGGAGTGCTTGTTGCCCTTCCTGCTCAGCCGCCGTGCCCACTGCATGCTCTTGCGCCGCAGCAGCGGGTGCTCCGACTGGTCGCTGGAGCACGAGTTGCGGTGGTGGCTCGTCTTGATGCCCCAGTGCTCCTTGACGTCCTTGGTGTCCTCGCAGTCCTCAACATTGATTGAGATCTGTGACTAGAAGCCCAGCAGGTCACGCGGGATGGGGGGTGGCCGAGAGGGGTTTGGCCTGTGCCTGGCAGGGTGGGATCTCTCCCACGGGGTGGGTCCTTCCTCTGACCCAAATGGGCTCTCCCAGCACTTTGTCTCCGCACTGCAAGAGCCGCCGGGCTGGCAGATTTCACAGAATCCCAGAACGGTTTGGATTGGAGGGAGCATGAAGCTCATCTCGTTCCACTCCTGGCATGGCCCACCAGAGCAGGTTGCTCCAAGTCCTGTCCAGCCTGGCCTTGAACATCCAGGGATGGGGCAGCCCTTGGAAAAGCTGAGGGGAGTCTTGTGGGCACCTGACACCTCACACAGGATCGCCTCTGGGGCATCTGCCCAAGGAACAGCCATGCCCTCATCTCCCTCTCTTCCTTCTTACAGCATCTGTGCTGCCACACGTCTGACCCAGCAATCCCCAGGGGTGAGCAGGAGTTCATTAATGAAGCCTTTTAAAGCATCTCAAGGAGCTGGACTGCATTTAATTAAACGTCAACTTTCAGCTCCCTGTTACCGCTTCAAGTTGAAAACTGAAAGTATTTTAAAGGGACGCCGGCTCCCTCCCTCGCTCCTGATCCCAGTTAATTACATCAGGGCACTGAGGCTCAGCCAATGTCTCCCTACCGTGGGGACAGGCAGCGCTGTGCTGGCAGCAGGGCTGAGAGCTGGCACAAAGCACGGGGTGGCTCTGGGTGGCCAGAGCCAGCCCAGGGACCAGGCGGGGGCGTGGGACGGGGAGGCAGCGCCCGAGCGCGCGGCCGGACGCGAGCGGCACTCACCTGCGCTCGGATGTCGTGGGGCTGCAGCAGGGGAGGAGGAAGGGAAAACCACGAGTCAGTCCAGCAAAGGGGCAGCCCTGCTGTGCCCACCCTGCTCCCCAAGGTGCCCAGTGGCGTGGCAGAGCCGTGCCAAGAACATCTGCCCGGAGAGAGGGGCACTGACCCTGACCCAGCTGGGGACCCAGGACGCCACCACCCAGCGCAGCCACTCTAACGAGATGAGCACAAAAATTCTCCATCCCCTGTTCTCCCCTCCCCACTGCTGCTGCAATCTGAGGTGCACCAGGGACCGACACCCTCCTGGATGCCAGCCTGGCTGGCACCACCAGCAGCCCCTTCCCAGCCCTACCTCGGAGGTGGCGAACATGTGCGACTCCGTCCTGTAAATCCCGATGGGGATCTCGGCACTGGAGGAGCAGAGCTTCTGGAAGAGGCGGCCGTAGGTCCGGATCCACAGGTCATCCTCAGTGATCTTCATCTGAGGAACACAGCACCCACATGGACCCCCGTGTGCACCTCGGGCTGCTCCGCCACCATCCCAAAAGTGAGCTGGGCTCCACAAGAAAATCAGGGGCAATTTCTGACCTCAGCCTTCAAAACAGGGAGTTTGATCCTTGGTGGCTTTTGGTAGCACTGAGGCTCCCCAAAATGGAAGGGAACAATGACCTGGCAATGCTGTTCCCACCCCAGTTCTGCAGAAGAGGGGAACCCCAACCCCACGCACAGGGTGACAGATGCCACCAGAGCCAGACCAGTTTCATGCCAAGGGGAGCTGGCACGTACCGCACACAGGTACCCAGAGCCCGGCGTGGTGTCGAGGCCCAGCAGCAGCCGAGTGATGCTGATCATGTAATCCTTCACGAAGGACTGGGGAGACATTTGGGCAGGAAACCAGGGCAAGGTTTGCTCAGCTGCTCCCTGGGGGATGCCAAGGGCAGGCCAGAGCTGCACAGCTGCATCTCACCTGGTAGAGCAGCGTGTCCAACATGCTGATGCTGAAGACCCTCCCGGCTGCAAAGGGCAGCCGGAACATGAAGGCCAAGTTGGAGCCATTCTCTCGCTCTCTCTGCAAGAAGAAGGGGAAGTTTGAGCTCAAATTGCACAGGAACTTGGAGGACTCATGGCAATGGAAGGGCACAGGTGTAATGATTCTGGTGGGTGTGCCAGGAGGAAACCAGGGCAGCATCTTTGCACTGTAGAAAAGGAGGATATTTTTTTCTCCATGGAAATGTGTGAGACATGATCGGGTTTCCTGGACATGGGAACGACCTCCTCTTACCTTTTCTAGCTTGGAAAGGGCCAGAGAGTAACTGTCCTTGGCTCGGAACTGCATGAACCTCATGTTGGAGGGGTGGGTCAGCTCCGTGATAATGCTGAGGCTGGGGAAGAGCCTGCAATGGAAAGAGATCTGCTGTCCTGCAGCTGTCTCAGAGGATTTAAAGCCCGAGGCAGCCCACAGTCATCCCTGTCCTGTCTGAGGTCAGAAATAGCTGGTTACATGCTGCTTCCTTCAGCAAACCCAGTGCCAGATGTGTCCCACTGCGCGTAGCCACCACGCCAGGCTCTGGCAGCCTTCCTGGCCTTGTCCCCAGCAGTGGTCAGCCCTCACCTGAACATGGTCTGGACGTTGACAATCGTCTTGGCATCTGCCATGTAGTCCTCCTCAGCACTCATGGTGCTCTCCTTGTCCACCACCACCAAGTTGTCGGCGTAGATGATGCCACACTGCAGCAAACTGTCCAGGCTGGGCAGTCCCCAAAGAGAAGAGCGCAGGGTCAGCCCTTGGAAACGACACAGGGAAGCAGCACAGGGGTTCCACGGCGAGCCCAGGCTGCTCCCGACCTGCTCTTCACCTGCTCCCATCTCCCAGGGAGGGGTTGACAACTCGAGAAGCCCAAGGTGGGCTCAGCTCTACGCTACCAACCCTGGGGCTTCTCACGGGGCGACTGAACAGGCTGGGCCGGGACAAACGCAACAATGCGGGCACGACAGCCACACGTGGAAACACCTACTTGTCAATGGTGCCCTCCATGTAGTAAACCATGGGGAAACAGCAGATGGCCTCCAGAAAGTGGTGCTCAGGCCTGGGGGGAGAGCCACAGAGAGCGAGGTGGTTCAGCACGTCCACGCAGCAAAGACAGACACCAAACCCCAGGGCTGACCAGCCCAGGCACCCAGCGGTGGCACCGCTGCCCCCTCACACTCCCACCACCAGCACAAAATGCCCGGGGCAGCGCAGGGAGGTTCTGTGGGAGGGAGAACACCCGTGGAGAAGTACTTGCTTGTTGTCCAGCAGCAGCACGATGGGGTTGAGCTCCTTGCGGGAGCGGTAGTACGCCCGCAGCGGGACGATGAAGTTGTAGAGGCCGTTGCCGGCTGTCTCCGCAGAAACGATGATCAGTTTGTTCTTGAACCCATAGGCTTTGGCGTCCTCGAAGCTGTTGTGCTTGCAGCCCTGCGCGGGACAGCGCGGGGACTCAGCGGACACGTCCTGGGGGCTCAGCCCCAGGCAGCCCCCGCAGCCCCTGCACACCTTGTCCAGCCTCAGGCAGCAGAACGGGGCTTTCTCAGGCAGGAGGTGGCACAGGGTGGGCGAGCTCCCGATGTAGGGCGAGTTTGGGGGGTAGCCCTTCACGTACCTGCAGCAGAGAGAAACCTGTGTGAGGACACGGGGAGAGCTTTCCATTTATCCAACGCTCGGATGCTGAGGAAAACACTCAACAGCAACACTGGCAAACGCCCTGCAAAACTGTCCCGCGGCAGCTGGGAATTCCCTGAATATGCACATTGAGGAGTGCTTTTTGCCATGAGGTTGTAAAGATGCAGGGACAGAGCGCTCATGGAAAACCAGGAGGGGCTGAGCCTGAGCTTCCCGGGGCCCCAGTGCCTCTGAAACTGGAACAAACTGGGAGCAGCCACCATGAAGCAGAGAAATCTCCACCGACAGAGAGCCACTCACTCCACCACCGCCGAGCCCTCCTCGTCCGACTGCGTCATCTCGTCCTCGGACTGGTCGCTGAGGAGGTCGCAGGGCAGCAGGGAGGAGGTGTCAGCCAGCTCCAGCACCGGGGCGATGCTGGGCCGCCGCGTGCCCGAGCCGTTCTCGGCCGGCAGCGCCAGCTTGCTGCTGTTGGCAGGGCGGCACTCGGTGTTCTGCAGGTCCATGGCCACTGTTCCTGGACACAGAACACGCTCTAAGCGGGGGAAATGTCTCAAAAGCCTCCTGTCCCCGAGCCCTGCTCGGGGGTGAGGCAGCCCAGCTGATGCTCAGCTGTTCGTGGGCACAGGTAGAGCCCCCACTGGTGAGCTCCACCCGTGTGCAGCATCTCCCCAGGGCTCAGCGGTCCCTGGGGTCTGTCCTTCTCTCCATTCCCCTCGCAGCTCCACCTGCTGCTCCCTGAACTGCCAAACCTGCAGGGGTTTTTGTCATGCTGATGTATCTCCGAGAGGACAACCCTGCAGCCCAACCCCTGCCCGCAGCTCCTCGGGGGCTCTGGGAGACACCAGCCAGGTTAGGAACCACATCTGCCCTTCCCATGGACGTCCTTCTGCCCCAGGGAGAGGCAGGCAGGCAGCAATGTCCTCACCCACCTCCCACACCCCTCCTGAGCAGCTCCAGCTCTTAGAATCTCAGAATCCTCTGAGGATTCTGAGAAAGGAACAGGAAAGTCCCCTAAGATTGAACGCAACCATTCCCCCGGCACTCTCAACCTGCCACTAAATCAACCAAATGCCACACCTACACGTCATTTAAATCCCTCCAGGGATGATGACTCCCCCACTGCCCTGGGCAGGCTGTGCCAATGCATCACAGCCTTTTCTGTGAAGGAATTTTTCCTGATATCCAACAGGGAACAAGAGAAACTTCCTCATCCTGTCCTCCAGCAGCTTCCAAAACCCAAACACATCGATGGAGTGTCCCAAGAAGCAGAGCCCTTGCCAAACACCGCTGCCCTGCTGGCACTCACGTCATTTCTGTCCCTCTCATCACCTCTGCCCAAGGTCCCTCTGTGTAGGAGCTGTGTGACGAGAACTGTGACAAACACGGCTCAGCAAAGCACTCTGAGGCTTGCTGGGGGATAATCTATGCAAATTGCTGCTCAGGAGTACAAACACATAAATTATTTGCTTCAAATATAATGTGCTCGTGTGGCTCAGCTCCTCCAAAACTTGTTCTCCCCAGATACAAGAGGGAAGTAATGACTCATGGTATTTTTCACTTGCACAAATGCACTGCTGGCTGCAGAGAGAGCTGCGCTCTTCCTCGCTTTGGGAATCATAAACGTGATTTAGGATGTGCCCCACGGCATTTCTTCTTCCAGCCTTGGAAATAATTGGGGGCTAAATCCAGGCTTGGGGCATTTATGCAAATACCCTTAATGATAATAGGCATCACGAGGTTTAATAATGATATTTGAGCTTGCTGAGAGCACCCAGGGTGCAAGGAAAGATGTATTTTACTGGTGAGATGGCTGGGAGAGAGCATGGAAAGGGCTTTTCAGGGAGAGGGGGAGTGTGGCAAGGAGCGTGTAAAACACAAAATAAACCCAAAACCACAAAATAAACCCAAACGTGGGGGAGGAAGGGAACCCAAACGTGGGGGAGGTGATGGAGTGGGGTGTGCCAGCTCCTGCTGCCCCCCGAGCCCCCCGACTCACCCATGCTGGCGATGATGCTGTGCACGGGCAGCCGGGAGGGGCCGTCGTAGCTGCCCCTGCCCGCAAAGCCCTTCTTCTTCTGCTTCTCCTCCTGCTTGAAGATGAAGGCAGAGTTCTCCTCCTTGGTGATGTTGATGTAGAAGCAGGTGTCCGACGCTGCCATGATGTGCCGCGGCCCGGGGTTCAGCAGGATGCTTTTGTTCTCCTCCCTGCGGATGCCGATCAGGCAGACACCGTACCTGTGCCGGGAGCAGGGGCTGAGCATTCCCAGAGGAGAAAAACCTCCCTGGGGCATTGTCCCGGAGAAAAACCCCCCCGGGGCATTGTCCTGGAGAAAAATCCCTCGGGGCAATGTTCCAGAGAAAAACCCCTCGTGGACATTGTCCTGGAGAAAAACCCCTCGGGGCATTATCCCGGAGAAAAATCCATTGGGGCATCATCCCGGAGAAAAACCCCTCCATAAACCCCTCCGGGGCATTGTCCCAGAGAAAAACCCCTCGGGGCATTGTCCCTGAGAAAAATCCCTCCAAAAACCCCTCCGGGGCATTGTCCCGGAGAAAAACCCCTCGGGGCATTGTCCTGGAGAAAAATCCCTCCAAAAACCCCTCGGGGCATCGTCCCAGAGAAAAACCCCTCAGGGGCATCATCCCAGAGTAAAACCCCTCTGGGGCATCATCCCGGAGAAAAACCCCTCCAAAAACCCCTCTGGGGCACTGTCCCAGAGAAAAACCCCTCCGGGGCATTGTCCTGGAGAAAAACCCCTCCAAAAACCCCTCTGGGGCATTGTCCTGGAGAAAAACCCCTCTGGGGCATTGTCCTGGAGAAAAACCCCTCCATAAACCCCTCCGGGGCATTGTCCTGGAGAAAAACCCCTCCAAAAACCCCTCCGGGGCATTGTCCCCACACAAAGCACCGGCAGCCCCCCAGGCCTGAGCCCAGGCATGCAGAGCAGGACCCCCAGCCCCCCGCCCTCACTTCTTGTGGGCGTGGAAGGCGGCGTAGGTGAAGCTCTTGCCCTCGTACTCCATGAAGAATTTGCTGTCGCCCATGCGGATGTGATAGACCTCGTTGCCCGAGCAGCGCCCGTACATCCGCTGCCACTGCTCCGGAGACTCCTGACCCTCCCTGCAGGCACGGCAGAGTCAGGAGGGATCTGCTGGGGCTGGGGTGGGACCCCCAGGGGTGGGATGGGATGGTGGGACCCGTGGAACTGGGTTAGACCCCTGGAGCTGTGACAGACCCCCAGAGTTGGGATGGGAACCCTGGAGCTGGGATGGGAACCCCGGAGCTAGGATGGGACGGTGGGATCCCTGGAGCTGGGTTAAACCCCTGGAGCTGTGACAGACCCCTGGAGCTGGGATGGGACCCCCGGAGCTGGCACAGATCCCAGGACTCCAGCCAGATCCCAGGACAGAGCACCAACAATCTCTGGAGCTGCCCCGGAGCCCGGCAGCAGGGGGGTGACAGTGACACATGGCCACGAGCTGTCGGTGCTCGCCGAGGATGAGCTCGTTTTCATTTTGGGTTTTAAGTGCCTTTTTATTTAACGAGGGCTCCTGCAGGGTGCAGGGGGAGGGTGCAGAGCCTGTGTTGGCAAACAGCCCCGAGCATGGGGCGGGAGACATCTGGCAAGGATGTTTCATGGCTGTTCTGATGGCACTTTACCCAAAATTCAGACATTTCTGACTGGCCAAGGAGTGCAGGGCACACACCACTGCTCCCCTGTGCTGGCAGTGCTCCTTCCAGCCATGCTGGACATAAACCCACCAAAAAACCCTGCAGGGTCTGGTGCTGCTTGCGCTGTGAATTCACCTTCCTGCCAGCAGCACCGTGCCAATACAAAGATATTTTTACCTCCAGTCTCTGGAAAGCTGGCATTGCCCAGCCCACCTGCACTGGTGTGGTCCCTTTACAAACTGAGCTTTTGCTCGAGACCTGGATGGGGGCCCCAGACCCCACTGTGCCCCCCAGCCCCATCCCAGACCCCATCCTCTCTGCCCTGAGCTCAGAGACCTCAGTTCTGCCATCCCTGCAGGCCCAGGGGTGGGCAGGGGTGGGCAGGGATGGGCAGGGATGGGCAGGGATGGGCAGGGACAGCACTCACTGGCCACGGGAGGTGTGCACCAGCAGCGTGATGAGGGTGGAGGTGGCAGGGCAGACACAGTTCAGTGCCAGCATGGCGTATTTGCACTCTTCCTCACACACAACGTGATCTGAAAGGCAGAGGGGACCATCACAGAGGGGAGGGGGACAGATGGGTTCCCTGGCTGGCAGGGCCCAGGAATGGGGTCGTTTTGGGGTGGTGTTGGGCACAGGGTGTTTCCGCCTCCTGCCAGTCCAGGAGGGCTCTCAGCTGACCAAGAGCTGCTGTGCAGCTGCTCCAACTCACCAGCAAACTTGACATGAAATTTGTTTTCTGGCTTTAGGATCTGAACGTAGAGAGGACAGTTTGGAGCAAAGTCTTTGACAGCCCAGGCCCTCAGGATGGTTTGGTGGTCCTGGACGGGGACAAGAGCAACGAGAGCTGCTTGGTTGATGGTTTCTTTTCCCCAAGACTTCTACACCTGGGATGAACTGCAAAGCACCCAGCCACCCTGGAGCTGTACAGCAAGGGCTCCTCCTGCCTCTGGTGCTCCCCGAGGCCCAGCACTGATGGGAAACCAGCAGAAAAAGGTGAGCCCACAGGGGCTCAGCCAGCAGCGTGCTGCTGCATGTCTCTGTGCCATCGCCAAGGTTCTCCATGGCACTCAGCCCCTTTGCTGGGCACAGGTGACATCAACACCACCCAAGCCCCTTCTGCCTGAAAAATGCCCCCTCCCTGTGGATATTCTCAGTTCAGTCAGAGAGAAAATGAAGGTTTCTAACCAGGCAGAAGCCTGGGAAGCAGTTAAGAATGTAAATCATTCTTTATCTCTCTTGTTGTTCACATTGTTTATAGATAAGTTTTGCCACTGCATGTCATTCACTGCACACCAATGGGGTGAGATGTTTTCACTCTAGGACCAATAGAATGGGTCTAGATGTACTCTCTGTAAAAGAGAGGTGTATTTGAAATAAATCAGAGTTCCACTCTCTCGCCTTCTGAGGTGGAGTCATTTCTCACCATCCTGCCTCAAGGGTGTCACCTCCCCACCCCTGACTGGACTCACCGCCGCTGTTCTGTCCACCTCGTTTCGGCTGCTGAGGATGAAGCAAGCTTCTCCATTGTCCATCCTGCAAGAGAGAGCAGCGACCCCATGGACTGCAGAGCCCAATGGGCACTGCCCACCCCAGCCAGGCCACTGCCAGCCCCCCCAGACCCACGGGGACGCAGCTGGGGTGACCCTCCGTGCCAGGGACGTGCAGCGCGTCCCTCCGCTCACTTGGCTCTCATGAGGTCCTGGTCCTTGAGCGCAGAGCCCTGGAGGTAGATCACCCTCTGGGACCACAGGGGGATCTGCAGCACGCGCCGCACCTGGATGTCCATCTCCGTCGGGCACAGGATCACCACGTAGTAATCCTGGGAAAGAGAAAAAGAGAGAGAGGCCGCCGTGCCTGGGTCCCGTGGGGCTGTGACCCGGCAGCGGCGTGTGAGCTCGGCCCCGTGCTCACCTGCAGGCGCGGGTGGGCGTAGAACTCGTTGAGGAAGTCCATGAGGAGGTCGATCTTGAGGGAGCTGACGCACAGCACCACGTGCTTCTCGGTCTGCGCGCGGTGCCGGCTGTAGTTCCCGCCCGACTTCTGCCGCTCCATCCACAGGTAGACGAGCTCCTCGAACTGCGGAGGGCACGGAGCTGATGTCCCCTCCGGCAGGGCCGGGGGTCCCTCCCCACCCTCAGCTGTGCAGGTCTCACCTGGAGCGGCAGCACCACCAGGGCCACGCAGATCATGATCACCACCAGGAGCTGGGAAGGCCAAATCTTTGGTGTCACATCTCCGTAGCCCACGGTGGAAAAGGTGACGATGCAGAAATAGAAGGACTTGAAGAGGGAGAGCTTCTCACCTGCTCTTTCTAAATGCTGGATGCCACAGGTCCTGGAAGGGAAAAGCCCCATCACAGCAGAACCCCACGCACCTGCGGCTCGAAGCCATCCTGCTGGACACAAGCGTCACCCAAGCCTTCCTGGGCCTAAGCTGTACCCCCTCCGTCCCCAAACTCATCCAGCAGCAGGGCTGGGAGCACCACTGAGCTCTGAAATAGCATTAATCATCCACACCAGAGCATCATCTTTATTGCCAAAAACTCATGAGCCTAAAAACCTCATTTCCTCTCCATTCGGCAACTTAATAGTTCAATATGCCTCAAACCCAGACCGAGGGAGCCAGAGGAGAATTCAAAGCCTAATTCAGAGCTAAATAGCCAGTGATGAGCTCTGCTCCCCTGCACAAAGGAACACCCTTGAAGCTGGCAATGGCAGGGAAAGGGCCCAGTTAATTACCAGGAGCCCCAGTGGCCAATTACACAAATGAGCTTGGGAGCTGTGATGGGTGGGGGAGGAAGAGCTCGGCTGGTGAAGGAACCATCCCTGGGGAATGAGCCACCCCTCACCTGCCCCTGGGGGAAGCTGCTGTCCCTGCCCTCGTGTCCACATCCCCCAGCTGCCTCTGACAACACCCTCATCCTCACAAAAAACTTCCTGTTAAAACCCTGGAATAAGGCAGGATCATTAATTTGACCCAGAAACCCTCTCACAGAGCTCAGTGTGCTGGGGATGGAGCAAAGCAGGGGGAGGTGGGAGCCCTGCAAAGCCCAGCTCTGCCAGCTGCCCCAGATGGGCACAGCTGGATTCCCAGGGTGGGCACAGCTGGATTCCCTGGATCAGGAAGGGGGGTTTAGAGAAATGGAGAACACCACTGACCCCGTGAAAACGAGACACAGGAGGGTGCAGATGAGGATGAGCACCTGGTTGAACATCGCTGACTGCGTCCTTTGGATGGCTCGGTGCAGGTCGTTCTGGGGAGACAGAGACGGATTTTCCCCCACAGAGCCTGGGGGAAAATCCCCTCCAGGCACCAGCTGCTGCCTCCAGCAGTGCCCTCCCCAGGGAAGGGCGAGCCTGGATTTTGGGAAGGGATGTGCGTTCCCATCAGCAAGTCTGGGGTCTGCTGCCTGGAGAGACAGCTCTGGTGGGAACAGGGGAATGGCTGGAACACCTCACCCCTGACCACCCTGGCTCAGACACCGAGGGGCTCCTGGTCACAGCCTGGCATTCCCAGCCTGGCATTCCCAGCCTGGCATTCCCAGCCTGGCATTCCCAGCCTGGCATTCCGTGGCACAGCTGCACACACCAAGCTCCAAATCTTGCCTCAGAGCTGAGGGCAGCCAAGGGTCCCTTCCCAGTCCTGCTGCCCCTCCACATCCCCGAGGAGCTGGACAAAAGGCATCACTCACAATCATGTTCTCCAGGGCGTACTTGGCCAGCCAGCAGTTCAGAAACACAGGAATGAATAAATTCCGCAAAGGAGGCCAGAATATCTACGGAAGCAAGGGTTATTCACAGAGAAATCCATGCTCTTTTGAAAAATAGAGCTATAAGCAGCCAATCCTCCCTGTCTGGAAGGATTCAAATCCAAGCTGAGCAGAAGCTGCCACCAAGCACTGCCCTGCTTCCCTAGCTGCAGCTGGAAAGGGAGGATGGGTTTTGGGATAACACTCTAGAAAAAGTCATTATATTGTCAAATATTGAAGGGGAAATTTCCTGCCAGTCTTAAAAACCACTTGGCCAGAAACACATTTGTCTTTATTTCAGCACCAAAATACAGCACTTACTCAGAGCTGCCTTCAAAAGTCACCGGGACACACTCACCGTGATGATGAACGGCACCGTGTTGATCATCTCCAGGATGAAGGAAATGCGAAAAATCTGTTCCCAGATGTTCCCCTGAGGAATCAAAAGCAAAGAAGAATTAAATAACCTTAAAAATCTTGCCAGAGGACAATTAAAATTATCCCAGTCTGCCACAGACCCTGCTGGATGAGGGAAATACGGTGCAGGAGAGGTGCAGTGGTGGTGACAAACACTCTGGGAGCAGGAAATATTCCCGAACTGCTCGGTTCTCTCCAGAGCCACTACATCCATCTGTCACTGCTGCCACCCAGAGCTGGGGGACAACACTTGATGCAAGGATGCAGGGTGACAGTGACAGCTACAGATCGCTGGCACTCAGAGCAGGGGGTGACGCAGGCTCTGGGTCTCTGCTGCCAACCCTCCCCTGGCCCCTGAGAAGATGCCATTTGTCAAGGTCACTTTTTCTGGCCATTTTAGGTGGCTTTGGTCCAAAGGAGTCAGCTTGTGCCTCTCCTTGTCTGGCTCCCTCCGGAGGAGCGGGACACGAGCAGGAGTCGCCCTGCCGAGCTCAGGAAATCTGGGATGTGTCAGCCTGACACCAAACGCAGTGAGGCTGCATTAAATGAGTCTGGATTTCTGAGAAAGCACAAAAAGAAGAGATTCTGCTCTGCTCAACGCTTATCCAGCAGCCCGGGGGGGAATGAGAATGGAAAACACCCGGAGACATCGGGCAGACCAACACCCTCCCGGGATGCTGCGGGCTCCGAGGTGGAGAAATCAATTCCTGCCGGGGGCAGAGGCAGGCTGAGCCCTCCCAGGCCAGCCCCTCACCTTGTAGCTGAGATAGGTGAGCAGCATGGTCTCCAGGAAGCTGATGAGGGCGATGCTGACCTGCAGGGACACACAGGGGAGGCTCCAGGGCTCTCTCCAGGCGCTGGCAGTGGATGGGAGCTCGCCGAGCCCCCCTGGCCCGGGGAGCCCCAGCTGGGGCAGAGCTCCCAGCCCAGCAAGGGCTGCTCACCTGCACGGCCCACAGAGGGGTTTTTCTGTCCACCCAAAAGATGTGTGACCTGCAAGGAAACCCAGAGGGGATCTGAGCTGTGGCCTGGCTGTTTTCACCCCCCAAAATGCAAACCCGAGGCCATCCCCGGTTCAGGAGTCTCCCTCCTGCACCGTTTGCTGGAACAGCCCCTGCACTGGAAATCAGCCATGGCCAAGGGTGCAGCCACTGGCACTTGGCACTGGATTTGGTTCTGGGATGCTGCTCCACATCCCTCGAGCAGCCCCACGACCAAGAAACAGCCTCAGGCAGCTGCCAGCAGCAGCCACCTCCATCCCTCTGCCCCCACATCGTGGCAGAGCTGACCCAGGGCGCTGGAGCAGCTCCCACTCACCAGTTGATGTTCGTGGACTGGTTGAACGCCGTGTAATTCTGCTTTTCGCATTCCCAGCTGGGAGAGAAAGAGCAGGAAAAGCAGTCAGGGGACAGGGATGCTGGGATTGACTCCCTGGGATCACTGGAGAGCATTTCCACGGATCCAGACTCCCTGATTCCTGCAGCCAGGGCTTTGCACAGGAAAAGTCTCACCCAGGCAGCCTTGAACATCTCATTACTGGAGGACAAAAGCCCTCAGGTGCTTCAGCCCCTAGCAGGGATGCTGTGGAATGCTGATTCTCCCTGGCACAGTGCAGAACACAGGCTGCAGGGAGCTGGGAACTGGGAATTACCAGGTTACAATTAGCAAAAATTGCTGAGCTGCAGCTTCTGGGACAAGGCTGGCTGGGCCCCAGCACCCTGCCAGGCAGGCAGCAGCGGGCTGAGCCCTCCCTGCCCTGCTGAGAGGGATGTGCTCCTGCTGGCCAGCCTTGCTGCTGCCACACTCCCCCAGGAAAATGTGGAATTCCCCGAGCTGCAGCTGTGCTGCACCTCTCAAGGATGAGCATCCGTGTCCTGCTTCATTCTCACAGGTCTGAAAGCACTTTCAGAACACACAGATGTGCTTGCTAGTCTGCAGCCTTTACAAGGAGAAAATCAAATTGCCAATTATCCAAGCTCTTGGGGAAGAAAAAAAACCACCACATTGTACATGAGCTAAACGAAGCAAGGACACATTAAAAATAGGCTTATACTGACACCCAGCACAAAGCTGATGTGTGGAATCATCCATCACCTCGAGGATCCACGCAGCACACCGTATTTCCCTCTCAAATGGGATTTAGTGTTAATGTCTTCAAGGGCATCAGCCTTCAGAAAATATTTGCATGGTGATGTCCTGGAGTGTCTGAAAGCCACACTGAGCCCCTGACAGAGTCAGACAGAACTTGGAAATGAGCATGACCTGAATTTTTCCACCATGCTCTGCTCAGCAGATACCCCCACACCATCCCCGGGCTTTGAGCAGGGGACACCAGCCTGGCAAGTTTTGTTAAAGCACCAATTCAAACAGCTGGGGGGAGGAAAAATCCCATCCTCAGAGCTGCCAGTCCCCAGTGAGCCCTGCCCGGGCAGCCGGGGGCACTCACCAGCCGATGCCCTCCTCGGGGTTGTCGAGCAGGACGCGGACGATGTACAGGAGGCACGTCAGCAGCTTCAGGGAGAAGTTGAAGAGCCGGATCCTCAGGCCTGTGGTGGAGGGCAGCAGGGATGGGGCAGCACTCCCGAGCACCCCACAGACCCCAGACAGCCTGGGTGCCCTGTGCATGCCCCACAGCACAGGAGCCCTCTGAGCCCCGGGGGGCTGCAGGAGCCCCAGGTCAGCAGCACTGCCCTGCTCCCCACATCCTGCCCAGTGTCACAGACACAGGAATCAATAACCATAATCAGCCCCTTGCTGACCCCAATAGATGTGAGAGACTAACGAGGAGCTGCTGGAGTGTATCCCCCTCATTAGCAGGGATCCATTTAAAAGCACCAGAGCAGCACTGACCACGTCACAAGCACCTTGCAGGAGCAGGGATGGAGAGGAAAAGCTGCTGCTTTATCCACTCCGCCTCCCCAGCCAGTTCATGGGGTTATTACTCAGATTACAAGTGAGAAATTCATCACATTTTCATTAAAAACTTCCCCGTGGGCACCCTGCTGTGCTGCACTCCAGCTTTTTAGCAAGACCAACAGGATGCAGACAGGAAAAGAAAAGGAGAATTTATAAATTAACGAGCAGGCCCCCTCCAGACAGCTAATGACATCTCGGAGGAAGAAAATAAAAACACCATCAGTCAAGTGGAGACTAACCCCGATGGCTGGAGCAGGAGAGGGCCACTCACAGCCTGCCCTGGCTGTCCCCACAGCCTCAGGGAGGCACAGCCAGCTTGGTGACGGGGACACTGGCTCCCTGACACCCACCCAGCTGTTTGTCACGCCGTGGCTGTCCCCAGGGAGCAGAGGTGGCGGGAGCCATCCTCTCCTCCCCATGCAAACATCCCCCAAAGCGAGCTGGCCAAAAAAGGGGCCAGGAGGCAGGAGCAGCCCCGGGCTGGGGACACGCGGGGACAGGGCCACCAGCAGATGGCAATGGCTTCGCATCCCTCGGGGCTCGCTCGGCAGGTGCCCGGAGCACTCACTGGATCGCTGGTTCTTGATGAAGAAGAGCTTCAGGCGCTCCTTGAAGGTGTTTTCATTCACGTAGAACTCGACCTGCACCCTGCGGGGGAAGCGCTGTCAGCGGGGTGGCAGGGCAGGAGCGCCCCGTGCCCCGTCCCAGCCGGGTGACCCCGCTGGCACCCCGGGTGACCCGGGCTCGGCCGGGGCTCCCGGCTGTCCCCGCAGGGCCACACCAGCAGCACCAGCAGCCGGGAGCCACCAGAGCAGCCGATGTGACCCCGGGCCAGCTCTGCTGGGGCTTGGCTTTCCTTCGCACACAGCCAGCCGACAGCACAGCCGCAAACTTCTCCCTTCACACGCTTCACCACGTCCAAAACCCCCAAAATATCGGCCCTGGAGCAGCCTCTCCTCGTTTGTCAGAGCAGGAGCTGGCCAGGACAATGTCCCCGGTGTCCCCAGTATGTTCTGGCTCTGTCGCGCCCTGCCTCTGCCTGGGGAGGAGAAACACTCTGCATGGAAGCTGTTAAAAACAGTTCTGCTCTAAAAGGAGAAAATTTGCCTTTGTTGCTAAGATACCACTCTTGGTCATTCCAGAAAAACCCAGGAGCTGACAACCAACCCCAAACATCTCCTGGCATCCAAGGCCACAGGTGGTGGCTCGTGGCACAGGGACGGTGCCAGGGCAGAGCGTCACCTGCCAGGACCCTTCACAGAATCCGGCAGGGAGGAGCAGCAGGAGGATCTGGAATGCCCCATCCCTGAATTCCAGGTGGATCTGGGAATGCCCCATCCCCGCCCTCCAGGTGGATCTGGGAATGCCCCATCCCTGCATTCCAGGTGGATCTGGGAATGCCCCATCCCTGCATTCCAGGTGGATCTGGGAATGCCCCATCCCTCCATTCCAGGTGGATCTGGGAATGCCCCATCCCTGCATTCCAAGTGGATCTGGGAATGCCCCATCCCCGCCTTCCAGATGGATCTGGGAATGCCCCATCCCTGCATTCCAAGTGGATCTGGGAATGCCCCATCCCTCCATTCCAGATGGATCTGGGAATGTCCCATCCCCGCCCTCCAGATGGATCTGGGAATGCCCCATCCCTGCATTCCAAGTGGATCTGGGAATGCCCCATCCCTCCATTCCAGATGGATCTGGGAATGCCCCATCCCTCCATTCCAGGTGGATCTGGGAATGCCCCATCCCTGCATTCCAGGTGGATCTGGGAACATCCCATCCCCACCTTCCTTGGCTGCTCCTGCCTCCCCAGTGGCCGCACCCGCAGCCCCTGCCAGCCCCACACTGCACCCATGGGGATGGAGAAAACCTCCTGCAGGGTGTCAGCAGGGTCAGGGATCCTGGACGGATCCTGGTGTGGGTAAATCGGTCCCAGCTCAGCTCATCCGCCCCTCGGGGCACTTTAAAATCGCCCGCAGCCCTTTGCAGTCATTATTCACCACTCTGACCCGCCCTGCTCCTGCCTCGCCTTTAGACCGAGCACGACAAACTCTGCTCCTCGCTGCGGGGCCACAGAGCAGCTCAGTGCCGTGAGTTAGCCATCGTTCCTGCTTCCAGCAAGCCCTAAGGAATCTCTCCTGCCATTGCTCCTTCTCTGCTCTCTAACCTGATCAATCAGGCGTGCTCCCCAGCCCAGGCACCCAGCAAGGGCAGCGAATTCCCGGGGACAGGCGCTGCCATCCCGCTCCATCCCGCAGCTGCCAGGCCCTGATTTATTGGGGAGCAGCCTCTCCTCGCTCTGAATATCTACCGACCATTCATGCCCAACTGATCAGGCAGCAAATTGGGAAAGGGTTTAACAAGATCTTCATCCCCAGCTGTCTTAAGGGGTGGGGAGGTGGCCAGAGGGGCTCTGCACCACGCCTGGTGGTGGACAACCCCAGAGCCCACTGCAGGGAGAGAGCAGGAGAATTCACAAGCCCTGGCTCATCAGCACGATGCTTGAGGAGCAAAGAGCGTGGACGCAGAGCCTCAGAGCCCAGCCTTCACACCTGCTAAAATTAATGGTTTCCAGAGCCAGACTCGGCAAATCATTTCTCCGTGCCAGGGCATAGATCAGCTGTCACAACTGCTCACAACGCTGCACACAAGATAATTGCTCCTGCTCCTTATTAAAAATGCCCAGGAAGTGCTGGGAACTGGCTTTCAGCTCCGACAGCAGCGCTGAGCACCCCATTCATCAGCACCCCCGAGGACTGAGCGCCTTGAGGAGCTGCAGACTTCAGGGAGCACGATTCCTCTGCCAGACATTTGTCTCCTATCAAAGCAACAAACAGCTAAATAAATCTCTGCCTTCAGACAGATGGTTCACTGATCTGTGGAGCTGTGGCCCACCTCGAGACAATGACTGTAATTGCTGATGGATAAAAGGACTAAATGATGAGATCTAACTCTTTATGATAAAGTGGCCCACGTGTTCATCCATCCTGATGGCTGCTGGAAGAAGGAACACTGGGAAAACAATCAAGCAACAAAAAGCCATGTCTGGACTGTGGGGAACAGGGTGTTTAACACTACAAAGAGATGGAGAAATAAAAGAACGTGGAGGAACCTGCCGAGGCTGAGCCCCAGATCTTTGTGGGGGTCCCACTATGCAGGTGAATCCAACCCCCCAAAGCTGAATGAGGGGTGGCTCTTCCCAGGCAGCAGCACCATCCCAAAGTATCAAAGCTCCTACTCCATTTCCAGCTGAGGGAAGGAGATGATATCATGTCAAACGTACCCTTTAATTTCATTGTCAGGAAGTTAACTGGGAATAAGAATCAAGCAAAACTCTGACTGCATTGTTACCACCCCAAAACACGCCGTGACAGCTCTGCCTTTGCAGCAGCTCAGCCAGGATGGGGTGCTCAAAGTGCTGCCATGGCTGGGCATCCTTCCCACCTGGAGCATCCTTCCCACCTGGAGCATCCTTCCCACCTGGAGCATTGTCCCCACTGCCCAAGCATCCTGGTGCCAGCCCATTCCAAGGGTCCCCAGCTCCACAGCTTCCCCACCTCACCCCTGCTGAGCCCCCCCAGGCTACGAAAACAAAGATCCTGGTATGAGTTTAGTTACAAGCCCTCTGCTTGGAAGTGTAATTACTGCTATTATGCACTTCATAATGCCTGAGTGACTTCGTTTTCTTCGCTCGGTTATTTATTGTTCTTTATTAATCTAAGATTAGAGGCAATTTGTTGTAAGATGATGAGTTCCCAAAAAAAGACACAATAGTTTGTTCAGAAAAGTGCAGGATGAAAGGCCAGGACGAGCACATCACAGCCCACCAGCATTCAAACAGACACTGAGGGGCACAGCCCCTGCTCCATCCTTTCAATTGAAGCTGGGACAATTCTCTTAAAAAAGGAGGAAAACACAAAAAATATGAACCCATGCAGGGATTTCTTGTCCCAGGAAGTGTCTCAAGGAATTTCCCCCATCATGCAGCAGGATGCAAACAAGACTATTCTGAGGGTTTTTTTTGGGGGGGAGACAGTGTCCAACAAACCAGCAAAACCTCAGAAATCTCTGCAATCTGGTGGGTGCCAGCACCCACCTCTGCCAAGGCAGCCAAAGTGAGACCCCACTTCACCCCTCCACTCCAGCTCAGCTCAGCTCACAGCTCTGCACCCACACGGATCAAACACACAAAAAATGTGGCTGCAGCCAGGCTGGAATTACAGAAATGTGCTGCTGGCCCAGCTGGGCTCCCTGGGGATGGGCTGTGGGTACCAGACACAGCTCAGAGGAAGGTGAGGAGCGGGCTGGCAGTGCAGGTCTGCAGCATTTCCTCTCCCAGCAGCCCGAGCAGGCTGTGCAGGATGCTCTGAGGGCACCGTGCCATGGCCAGGCTGCCTCCAGCCCTCGCTCAGCACCCGGAGCAGCCGGTGCCAGCTGGAACCCGAGCAGAGCCAAAATCCTTCCCAAATAAACCACAAAACCTGCCAGGCTGGGGCTCAGGTATCTGCTGATGAAATACCCGGGCAGCTCCAGCCTTCCTGATTCCCTTTGGGAAGTTTTTCCTTGTCCCCCCACCATTTTTGTGATTATGTGTTTGGAGACCAAAACTTCAGCGAGACGGGTGCCAGGGGGGTGAGCTGTGCCCTGTGTCTGCCATCCTCCATCCACGGGGGATGAGCTGTGCCCTGTGTCTGCCATCCTCCATCCACGGGGGATGAGCTGTGCCCTNTGTCTGCCATCCTCCATCCACGGGGGATGAGCTGTGCCCTGTGTCTGCCATCCTCCATCCACGGGGGATGAGCTGTGCCCTGTGTCTGCCATCCTTCATCCACGGGGGCAAGCAGAGGACGGTGACAGCTCCAGCCCTGCCCAGCCGAGCTCTCGGAGCAGGTTTTGGGGACGGGAATGGGAATGGGAACGGGAATGGGAACGGGAATGGGAATGGCTGTGTGCAGCCAGCCTGGGCAGACGCGGGCAGCGAGCTGCCCCTGCGCTCGGCACGCGTTAATTGAACAATTACTCAAAGGAGGAGGAGGGCTGCGCTTTCAGCAGGGCTGAACGGCTCCAAAGAGGGGCAGGGATCGGCTCCAGGGATGCCCGGGCTCACCCTCCTGGCACGGGTGATGCCCTGCCCAGGGCTCTGCAGCCCCGGGAGTGCCTCGGATTCTCCGGGCATCACCGAGCGCCCGCGGAGCTCTCCCACTGCGGCAGCTCCTCCGGAGAATCTGGGGCACGTTTTTAAACAAGAAAGCACAAAACTGCCAGGGAGGGCCGGGGAGCTGGGGTGGCTGTGCCTACTCTGGGGGCAGAGCCCCCTGCCAACGCTGCGGATCCACGGAGGGAAGGGGAGAGGGGAGATCTCTCTGGGGGGGTTCAGGTGCTGAGGGAGCTGCAGAGAGTACTGGGGACACCACTGGGGACACCACTGGGGACACCACACGGTCCAAAAGGCCAAGGATTGCAAACAGGGCAGATCTGCCCACTTTTAGCGAATTTTCTCATCCCCCATCCCTTAGTAGGTGCAACACTGAAGCTGCTGTCCCCCTCATCCCAGAATCCCAGAAGATCCTCAGGGATCACAGCAACACCCAGCCCCGAGGTGCTCAGCACGTCCCGCACCAGCCTGGGACAGGCACTGTCACATCCACCTTGGCACAGCCGCCGTGCCACCATCACAGCCACCGTGGCACTGTCACAGCCACTGTGCCACCATCACAGCTGTCATGGCACATTCAGAGTCATCATGGTATTACCACAGTCATCGTGGCACTGTCGCAGCCACCCCAGCAGTGTCACATCCACCGTGCCACCATCACAGCCACCATGTCTCCATCACAGCCATCATGGCACTGTCAGAGTCACCATGGTATTACCACAGTCGTTGTGGCACTGTCACAACCACCATGTCTCCATCACAGCCATCATGGCACTGTCACAGCCATCATGGCACTGTCACAGCCACCGTGGCACTGTCACAGCCACCGTGGCACTGCCACAACCCTGACAGGAAAGGCAGCTGCCCCTCCTGGCACAGCACATGCCAAGGCTAATCGCAGACCACGACCAGCAGAGTCCAGTCCCACATCAATAAACACTGCCCAGGGAGCCAGGATGCTGTGGCACATCTTGCCCCTCAAGCCCAAGGACTCATTCCTTCAAGATTTCATGCACTTACCATGGGAATCAACCAGAAAAAACCCTCCTGTTTTATTATGGAGTGTGATTTTTTTTTGCCCAAAGAAAGAATTGATATTGCCAACCACTCTGCAGCAAATTAAACCCAGCTGGGTGCAGGTAATGTCATCCTGGCTCCAGCAGTAATGCTGCAGTTGTATTTTTGGGGATGAAAATTCCAAGCAGCCACTACAGGAAAAACCCTGCCCAAGGGTTGGTTTGGCCTCCAGAGCCGTTTATCTCTCACCATGCCCTGAGCTCATCCTGGTGTGCCAGTGGGACAAGGGCTGGCACAAACTGCAGGAAGGGCTTCGTGGGCCTGAAGAGATGCAGCAGAAATCTCCTGCCTGACTTTTAGTTCTTTTCTATATATGTATAATTTTTTATTAGGGAGGACATTGCAATGGAAATGGGATTTTTATCGATTCCTCATTCCCTGAAGGCAGCTGTAATCCCTCTCCAACTGTGTTCAGCAGCTGCAGAGCTCATTTCCAGGCACCAAACCAAACACTGGAGGAAACAGGGACATGCTCAGGGCTTCAAGCTGTAGATAATAAAATACTTTGGGCTGGAGGGACCTTAAAGTTCATCCTGTTCCAAGCCCTGCTGTGGGCAAGGACACCTTCCACTACCCCAGGGTGCTCCAAGCCCTGTCCAGCCTGGGCTTGGACACTTCCAGGATGGGGCAGCAGCTCCCACCCAAGGTTTGGATGGTGCTCATGGCTGGGCAGTGGCACCACTTGCTCCTCAATAATTTAATTCTACTTCTAGTGAAGGTTAAAACCCCAAGAGGGAAGCAGCAGTGGGATGCCAGGCTGTGTTCCCTTTGGCCTATTTGTTTTGCAACATTGGAGAGCGACACTCATGAGCCTGCTCCTGTAATTGCTTGTGCTGATGAATCTGCATTGTTTAATTAGGGCTGTGCATGGAGCTCATCGTTAATGGATAATTGCTGATTTGCTGCTATCAATTCTTCCTCAATAAACTTATTCTTATTATTCCTTCTTTTAGTTACTGTTAATAAATCTTTTTTTTTAAGTTTTGAGCCTGCTTTGCCTTCCTCCTAATCCTACCTCACAGCAGGAGATGAGTAAATAAATTCTAGTGGCTGCACTGGTGTTTGGCCACAATTGTCTGTCCATGGAAGCAGGGAATCCTCCCCATGGTGGGAATTGTTGAAGAAGCTCCCATACACAATTCCTTGGTGCCCAGGGCAGCAAAGGACAAATCTTGTGCTTATTGGCTCCCTTAAAAGCAGGATCATCGTGGAGCACAGACTGGTTGGGGTTGGAAGGGACCTTTAAGGGTCACCTGGCTCCAGCTGTGGGCAGGGACAATTCCACCAGACCAAAACCCAATTCTACTAGACCAGGATGTTCCAAACCCCATCCATGCTGGCCTGGAACACTTCCACGGATGGAGCATCCACTTTAACCCCCAGTGACTCAGAGCCAAGGTCAACCACTGCTCTCAGCAGCAGGTACTGCCCAAAAAACTCAGGGTCCCTTGTCCCTCCCCACGGCACCAGAAATGCAGGAGCAGAACTTACTGTGAGAAGGAGGAATCCACGCTGAAATCCTCGGCGTGAGGCCTAAGAGCGAGAGCAGCACAGAGGGTGAGGGAATGCAGAGCCCCCAGCCCCAAAACAGCCCTGCTGGGGGTGTCCCACCGGGGATGTCCCCCTGGGGATGTCCCATCAGAGATGTCCTAATGTTTTGTCTATTTGAACCAGGTCTCATAAGCTCTCATAGACAAACATCCCACCCTTGATAGCTCAGCTACCTCAGGTGGCATAAAAGCAGCCAGGATGGCTCCTGTGACAGTGTTGGAAGCAAAAAAAGTTTTCATGAAAGGCAAAATAAAAAAGCTCTTCACAGAGAAAAACCCAGTCAGTACAAGAGGTTCTTGCTCCTGCTAAAACACTTCACAAAAGCGATTTACTTCTTTTGTTCTCTTATTTTTCTAGGGAATTGCTTAGGCGGGACTTTTTGGCTCCTGTCCAATTGGCTCTCCTTAAGTTGGAGGTGAAGTCCCCAAGGTCCTATGAGGTGCCTTTTAACCAAATTGAGGAGAGAAACTTCTGGCCTTTTGCCCTTTTTAAGGAGACAAAGGGTAACTTGTGCACTCAACAGGGGCACATTCCTTCAGTGTCCCTCCAGGGCTGTCCCAGCACCACGGGGAGCAGAGGCCACCCAAGTGCTCGGCCGAGGTCACACCACACCTGGGACATGTCCCTGCTCAGCTCCCAGTGATGCTCTGCCGATTGCAGCCCCTTCAAGGACTCGGCTCCGTGGGTAAAACCAGGTTTTATGGCTGGTTTATGCCTTTTGTTTTCTAAATGGTTCTCACAAACTGCTTGGCTGCTCTGCCTCTAATCAGTGCCACGCTTGGTGCAGAGAAATTGGGCTTTGAAGGGTGGGTGCTTTCAGGAATCAGCACTGTGCCTCTCCCGGGCTGGTTTTACAGACACGAGTGATGAGCAGAGAAGGGGAACGAAAATAGAGTAAAAAAATAAACCAAAAAATCAAATAACAAAGGAGCAATGAGGGGGATGAGGGGTTCAAGGCAAGGTGAGGAAGAACACAGAGAAAAAGAAGAGTGGGTGGGAGGTAAAGGGCCTGTGCTGGTGTACTGTACATCCCACAGACAGACAGACAGACAGACAGCACAGGGCTGTCACAATTCCACACACAGCAATTCCAGCTGCAAAGCAAAAAATCCCCTTGTGAAAATGGTGCTGCCACCAAGACACCCAGGGATGGCCGAGTCCCCATCCTTTTCTGAGCCTTTTCCTGTTCCAGCAGTTCCCTCTCTCCTTTCCTGATTTACTGCGAGCCAGGGACTCTGAGAAATATCATCACAGCCAAGGGGCCACTGCAGACCATAAAGATTTCTCTTGCATTTTGCTTTTGCTTTACAAGGCTGCAGCACTCCGGCACAGTTCAAACGAAATAAAAGCAATAAATCCACATTTCAGCAGGAATACAAGCCAAAAGGAAGTTGATCCATCCCTCAGCTACGAGGAGCAGCCTCCCTGGGACGGGATTTATTTTGCTCCTACCCCTGGGCTCTGTTCTGTGCAGAGCCTGGGAGGAGCTCATTGCTCCATCCTGAATCCCAGGCTGCTCCAAGCCCTGTCCAGCCTGGCCTTGGACACTCCCAGAGATGGGGCACCCTGTGCCAGGGCCTCCCCACCCTCACAGGGAAGGATTTCTCCCCAGTATTTAATCTAGCCCTGCTTTATGTCAGTGTGAAGCCATTCCCCACATCCTGTCACTCCAGGCCCTTATCCAAAGTCCTTCTCCAGCTCTCTTGGAGCCCCTTTTGCTGGAGGCTGCTGTAGGATCCCCCCAGAGCCTTTTCTTCTCTGGGCTCAGCTCCTGCCCTGCTCCCTCCTGCCATTTCCCCCTCTTCCCTCTCATTCCCAGCTTTCTCCTGGAGCATTAAGTTAATTCACACCAAAGTGGTCTCTTGTGCCACCTCCCACAGCAAGAACAAGCCCTGGGGTGGCTCTACAGCTGTGCCATGCCTCGGAGCAGCCCTGGCATTTATTCCTGCCCAGCAGCCCGGGTTTTCTGCAGCTGCAGAGCCTGGGGAAGGAGCCTGGCAGCAAAATTGGATTATCCCACGTTAGCAGCAGGGGCTGCTCGGGCCCCTGGCCTGCCTTGGCTTTTGAGCAGTGGCCTTTTCTGCCTCACAGAGATGTTTCTGGGGAAAGAATCAGCGAATAATTTGGTTTTCTCCTAATCTGGTGCCAGCTGGCAGGCGGGAAGGGTGGGGGAACAGGAGCTAATTCCAGCTGCAGAGCAACGCTCCTGAAAGCCAACCAGCGAAGGCACAAAACCACACAGATCAGAAGGTTCTGAGAGAACTGGGGTGTGCCAGGGAGATCCCCAGGATTCCTTCCCCCAAATCCATGGGCTCAGGAGGACAATGGACACCTCACTCACATGGAGGCAGCACGGACAAAGGGGATTCCAAAATCATGGACACACATAAACCTCCCCAAGGGTGGCTTTGGCCACTCTGTGACATAGTTAAAGCACATGCAATAAAATAATCTATTTTTGGTTACAAAAAGGTGAAAAGGTGCTTTTGGCTCCCAAATCAGTGAATTTCGCTGTGCTGGTCACAGAGGGAAGAAGTGATTTAAGGTATCCCACTGAAACTCTCCTTCTTCCCACCAGGCACCCAAATTCTCATCATATGAGAGGTTTCTCCAAGAAAACTAAAAATCATTCCAAATCTCATCTGGACATCCCAAAAACGCTTTAACAGTGATTTATAATATACAGAACCTAAGCCACTTAATGGAGTCAGAAAGGTTACACTGGCTTTTAACGTGTTTTAGATAATCTACTTCAAATTGACCTTTTTACTCCATCCAGACCTGGCTCCGTGAGAGCAGACAAACCCCGGCTCGCCTCATTGCCATGGAAAACAACGACAGCACAGGCAGGAAAGCACCTTGGCTGCCCTGCAGCACCCAGGGGCTGGGAGAGCAGAGCTGAGCCCCTGGTGATGCCAAGCATCAGCCAGCGTGCCAGGCTGGTGGCTGGCACAAGCAGCACCTCCCAGCCAGAGGAGCAGGGCAGGGAAGGGTGGAGAAAGGAGAGGAGCAGAGGGGGAAGGAACTTCTTGGCTGCTTCACAGACAGCTCTGCCCCCACCTTGCAAGCTACAGCCCCTGACAAAAGGGGAAGGTTTTATTAGAAGGTGAGGAGACAAAGGCACATTTATTATTAGAACAAAGCCATAATAAAGCTTGCTTATGTAAAAGGGAGAGCAATCACCTGCCCACCCATGCTGGAGGCATGAGCAGCACCTTCCACCTCATCCTGCCTCCTCAGCTCTGCAAAGGCAGGTCCCCCCTGAGCTGGGCAGGGTGTGCACAGCACCCCTGGGCCAGCAGGACCAGCTCCCTCCTCGCCAGCCCCAAGCCCAACTCTCCTGCAGCTCTGCCAGGCTGCTGTGGGACACGGCTGGCATTCAGCTGTGTGCCTCATGCAGATAATTGGAGGCCAAACACGGTGTTCCAAGTGCTCCAGGATGCTCAGAGGGAGAGAGCAGCACAGCACAGCCCAGCCCAGCCCAGCCCAGCCCAGCTCACACAGGGACCTGTTCCCCACAGCAAACTCTGCGCCTTCACCGCTGGCTCCCGAATTTTTGGTAAATGAAGAGCATTAAAAATTCACTTCTGCTGGTGCATTTCCTATTCAGCTTACAGCCATCCTTTGCAAACAAACACAAACATTCATGCCCTGATTTGAAGCCTCTGGAAGTTGCAGACACAAGTAATGACCTGCCAACAGCACTCTTGGCTTCAGGCTGCTTTAATAACCACTTGCAAGGCTCAGAGGCATTTCAAGACCGAGGTGGAAAGGTATTAAATCTGATGACTTTCTTCCCTGCCTCTAGGAAGGATTTAATGCCTTTTTACCCTGATCTGGAAATGCCTTCATGACAGGGTCAAGGCAGGGGGGTGAAGATGAGCCAAGCCGGGTGAGTGCCTGGGGAGGCTTCCCGAAGCAGTGCTCATCCTCCAGAGACAGGAGCTGCACCACGGTTCCTACCATGCTGACAGTGAGAAACTCAGCCCAAAATAGCCCGATGTGAGAAGGACAGATGGGAGGAGATGAAAAAAGAAAGTAAAGAGGGGGAGAAAGAATGAGCAAGGGGAAGGGGAAAGCGAGAGGAAGAGGCACATGTCTGCGAGAGGGGAGGGAAGGGCAGCTCCCCTTCCCGCTGTGGGATGGAGCAGGGATGACCCCAGGGAAGGGGCTGGAGTCTCCAGCACCCCTGGTGTGGAGGAACTCAGCCAGCTGTGCTGGTGGACAGCTGGAAAAGCCAGCAGCACCTGCAGAGAGCTGCAGAGGTGCCCCAGGGCCGGGCAGTACCTGAGCAGCTCACCGAGAGTGGCTCAGCTGCCTGCCCGGCTGCTCTTGAATCACAGGAGTGCCTTTCCTTGGCATTCCTCTGCAACAGCCACAGCACAGCTCAAACACAAAGTTTGGGAAGCAGCAGCAGCGCTGATCCCAGCCCAGGGTCCAGCCTGGCTGTGCCTCTCCCAGAATCAGCCACAGATTCACTGGGGTCACCAAATCCACCATCAAACCTTTCCCCCAGCACTGCCGAGCCCACCACGAAGCCATGTGCCCACAGTCCAGGTGTGAACTCCACCTATGCCAGGGCTGGACAACCTTTTTGGTAAAGAAATGTTGCCCCAAATCCAACCTAAATCTCCCCTGGCACAACATGAGGCCATTTCCTCTTCTCCTAGTGATTGCTTCTTGGAAGAAGAGTCCGATCCACCTGGCTACGAGGTAGATGGAGAGGGCAGGCACAGCTCAGCCTGGGCAAAAAGGCCCTGCAGATGCTCAGGCTGCTCTGACACAGCTCCCTGCCTTTGCTAATGAGCTAAATGAGTCCCTCAGTCCTGCCAAGTGGCTGATCCTCGCGGGGGAAGGACAGTGGGCAGGTTTGGAGGTGGGATACGAGACCCTGGTGTGCCACAGACCCTCACGGCCCCCTCAGAGGGTGCCACTCTTACAGGAAAGCCTGCCCTGAGGGGGGAACGTGCTAATCCCTGTGC